TGATTGGTTAATTATCACGGGCAATCACGGGTAGATCGACAAAATTAACCAATCATATGAATGTCTTCCTATGAGATCGGGTACGTTGTTTTGATTTCACGTTACACCAGATATCTGAATCTATATTTTTAAAAATAATCAGCCCTTAATTTTCATCGGTTATCTTGCTAAAAAAAAAACAAATGAGAGTAAGGGTGCGGATATCCACTCTTCGCTTGGTGACTAACAACTGTCGCTCTAAGGCGACGGCAGTTGATCAACAGACTTGCTGGAGTTATTCGTGCTGTCCATCTTGGCGGCGAATGCTTCCCTTGGTATACCTCGGAGACGCCATACTTCGCGCCGGCCCACTCTAGGGCGGTGAAGCTATGAGTCAGTTGGTTTTCAAGTTATTTCTTGATAGTCAGCAGCCTCAAACTTGTATCATACACTGTTAATAACAGACGACTCTCGATGTGAACCTTTCCACACACTGTTAAAAAATTCAGAAGCACCATTTTGAGCTAAGTGACAATATATTATATAAAATAATGAATATATGTCATGTTTACTAGTTTTATCGTTCCAATACGTATTCTCTTTCTATAAATTACGAGTCTATACCATTTGTGCAACTAATATTTTAAAATCGTGTTAGGGGTTGACTTCGCGCTCGATGGCCAAATAATTTGTTTTTAGCTCACTTACGATGCTTCCTCACCATATGCCATGAACACAAGTGACGTATTCAAACGACGCGAAAAAAGATTTCTAGAGCTAGATCCGACTATTTCTATTATAAAAACTCTTAGCCTTCAAGTTTATGAATATGGGTTGCTCCATTATAACACGCATTTCGTCAAAAATAAGGCCCTTTAGTTATCTAGAATGGTTTAGATAATGTCTGTTAGATCCAGAACCAGAAATATTTTTGGCATTTCGACGAATCAAATTCCGGACCTACAAACTAATGACTATTCTTTTCGTTCAGATTTTCCTTTCCAAGAAATTTATTAACACTGAAAGGAAAACAGCATCTTTAGAGCTCGAAAAAAGATAAGTTAGTTTAACCGCAAAATAACGACAACGAATTATTAATTCATTTTGACATTAATGTTTCGTAGTGGTACGACCGATAGCCTTTTTTTTGTTCTATCCAGAACACTGGTAACAAATGAAGCTGAGTATAATTATTATTGGACTTTGTGATTTTTTTTCTTTTTTTTTGATTTTAATTATTATAATCAATAAAACAAAAGAATGCTAGTGCATTGAGCATTTCGAAAAAGAATACAAAACATCTGGGTTCCTACCGATGGGCGAGTTGGCGTCTTACCTATTTCAATAAAATTCCTCATCACGATCAACGAATATTTAAATATTAGAGTTCAGCCTGCATCAATTTAAAGAACAAAATCTTGCGTGCAAAAATATATATCTATCCATTCGGAATGAGGAAGGATCAATTTTGAATTTTGTATTGGTTCGGTATAAAAAGAGGTATGATCTCCTAAGAAAAACATGGTAATTTTGTATTGTGAACTTTTTTTCTACGGCTAAAACCAACAGTTTGTTATAGAGAGAGCTGACTATACATAATTTATCGAAGAATATTACAGAAAACAAATCAAACGGTTAATAATAATAAAACTAGCTATAGAATATCGAAATTCAAATTTATTTGTATTATTTTAAATTGCGTATGATATTTTCATTATTTAATTGAAAAATAAAGTCAGTGCTAATAAAAAATAAAATAAAATAAATGAATAAAAATCAAATCAAATCAAAGACTAATTTTCCGAACCTGACCCGGTACACATTTTCCGGTGTTAACCTGCGTATACCTCTCGGGAACGGGGTTAACGGTTCAACTAATAACAGGGAATCACGTGGACACGGGGACACAAGAACCGTGTAATGGTATGTTAAAGTTGTAAGTATGTGATTTAGCGAGAGGATTTATTATAATTGTATGATTTGGTCAATACGAAAGAAGGCGTGTATGTATTTTTAGAATCAAATAAAGAAAGTGTCCTTTATTAAGAATATGTATTAATTGTCTAATGCTATGGCAAGCATGCCTACAAAGTGGAGCGAAACTCGCCCAGTTTTATAATAAAATAACTACTACTAAAATTATATGACATTTATGCCATAAACGTTCGATCTATCATTTATGCTACTACTTGCATTACCAACATTTATCCCATATCCGCCTCTTATGCCGTTTCTTCCACATCCGCCGCTTATGCAAGAAGTGGCTGATATGGCAGAAATGGCAGATTTGGCATTTTCGGCGCAGCACTCCTGTGACTCATAACTAAATCGTCACGAATAACAAAAATAATATGTACAAAAGTAATTATCTATGACTAAATTAATATTGGCAGAAGTCTTTAACGTGAAATATTGATAAATTCAAATCTAAAATCATACTGCTGTTGTGAACAAAAATTGACAAACCAAGTTTTATTAAAGAGTCCTAGCATACTATAGTACGAATCAAAAAAGAAAAAGAAAAAGGGAAATAAAAAAAAATAAAACAAACAAAAAATACATTAAATATTTAAATCTTCAAATCTATTCTAAAATAGTATGTAATAATAAATAATAATAATAATAATAAACAGAAACAATTTTTAACGCTCGCTCTAATATCAAACTGATCTTTACATTTATTTTAATACTCGTTATACAGTTATGGCACTAATACTTCGCTTTAATTCTTAAGAAATCTATAAGTCTTATGTCTCTCAACTACATATTATTAACCTACAATATAGTCATGTTTCATTGTTAGTTGGGATTATGAAAAATAAGTTCTTACAACTAAAAAACAGTATAAATTGACGAGTTTAATTGTTTCATTATACCTATAGGCTAAATCTAAACGTTTAAACATACCTCTCATCTAACTTCCGAATTACTTCGCAGATTACCAAATTATTTAATTTTTTTTGTTACAACCTTGGCAGTTTTGTACATGTAGCTGCGGTTCTAATTTTGTGCCTGCGAAATATTACAGAACATATTGTGTAACATTTTGGTCTATCATCCAATCAGATTTAAAGTCCGCTATACTATTTAGCATACACTTATTTGCGCCAGTGATACAAACTCAAAAAAGGAAATTTTCCTATGTAGATCTCAAGATCAGGTGTAATGTATATGTAACGTGAAATCAAAGGCTTTTTCAAAAAATCGTCAATAACTCAAATTTTGATCTAAAAAATTACCTTTTATGGTTTAATAAAAAAAATTCCTTGCAAAATTTTACTATAAATGTTGCTTTATTCCAACTCTAGACCTAATCTTAATGCCGTTCCTATCTCATATTCTATTAGCAAAAATATAAACAAATAAATATTTACTATTGGCATGTGATTTGTATTACTGGCGCAAAATAAGTAAATCCTGCTATTTAGATCAATATTTTTTTTAATACAGTAATGGCAGTGGTAATCCTAATCTGTGACAATTACGTCACTGAGGTCACTCATTGGCATTACTAAATTTAGATTAAACACCAGCACCGCAGATTTTCACTATAGAATATTTGATTATGTTTAATCAGTATGTATTAATGTTCATATTAATGTTCATATTAATGTTAGTATTTATGTTTATATTAATATTAATACAAACATTAATATTAACATTAATACAAACATTAATATTCGCCACTCAACAAAACAAAATGATCTGCAATTACTAAGTAAATATGATGCAAATTAATTAATAAACTCCTAATTAGGTAAATGTAAAAAATTTACATAACATACTGTACATACTGTACAATTTTATTTTTTTTTACATATAACTACACCCGATTTTGAATCTACTTGCAATTCATGATTCTATATACTATATATAAATTCAAATACCACATATTTAAAACTTTCTAATTTACTACTCATAACTAATAACTAACTTACCTACTAGTTAAACCTAGCAGTTCACTAATTAAAAGCAACTTAATCCACTCACTACTTTAGATCTCAAGTTCCTTACAAATAACAAATCTTAAAACTCTAAAAATACTACTTGCTGAATTAAATTTCGTGAAATAACTTACTACTATAGTTTAAATCTCAAATCCGTCACAGTACCTGCATATTTAGAATCCATTATTAAATGTAGATAAAGATCAAAAGTATTTATATTAAATTTTATTTCAAATCTATAATAACAATAATAAACTAACTAGGAATACGCTTAAAATGGACAAGACATGGCAAGGTCACACCCAACTGAAAGTACTTGTCTAGTCACCAGATCACGTGAGCCACCTTAGTTGTACATTCTTTGGCTACTTCGGTAGTATAACTAGGGGAAGATCCTAGGATGAGATCTGGAAAAAGGAAC